ATACCTATTTGATGCAGCCGTCTTTATCGTATTCTTGTGCCGCGCGTAATAGCTCCCTCTCCCACATTGAACGGACTCTGACTGATGGTGAGAGAACGTATTGTCTGTTACTGGGAGAACGGACTGACTAATAGTGGGAGAACAAACAGGCTATTACTGGGAGAACATATTGACTAATAGTGGGAAAACAGACTGGCTAATAGTGGGAGTACGAACTGAATAATAGTGGAAGAACAGACTGGCTGTTACTGGGAGAACATATTGACTAATAGTGGGAGAACAGACTGGCTAATAGTGGGAGTATGAACTGACTAATAGTGAAAGAACAGACTGACTGTTACTGGCAGAACAGATTAACTAATAGTGGGTGTACGGATTGGCTAATAGTAAAACAACAGACTGACTGTTACTGGGAGAACATATTGACTAATAGTGGGAAAACAGACTAGCTATTACTGGGAGAACATATTGACTAATAGTGGGAGAACAGACTGGCTAATAGTGGGAGTACGAACTGACTAGTAGTGAAAGAACAAACTGACCATTACTGGGAGAACATATTGACTAATAGTGGGAGAACAGACTGGCTAATAGTGGGAGTACGAACTGACTAATAGTGGAAGAGCAAACTGGCCATTACTGGGAGAACATATTGACTAATAGTGGGAGAACAGACTGGGTAATAGTGGGAGTATGAACTGACTAATAGTGAAAGAACAGACTGGCTGTTACTGGGAGAACATATTGACTAATAGTGGGAGAACAGACTGGCTAATAGTGGGAGTACAAACTGACTAATAGTGGAAGAACAAACTGGCCATTACTGGGAGAACATATTGACTAATAGTGGGAGAACAGACTGGCTGTTACTGGGAAAACATATGTACTAATAGTACAGGAGAACAGATTGACTAATAGTGGGTGTACGGATTGACTAATAGTGGGACAACAGACTGACTGTTACTGGGAGAACGATTGACTAATAGTGGCAGAACAGACTGACCGTTACTGGAAGAATAGATTGACTAATAGTGGATGTACGGATTGGCTAATAGTGGGAGAACAGAGTAACTAATACTGGAAGAACAAATTGACTAATAATGGGAGAACAGACTGGCTAATAGTGGGAGAATGAATTGACTAGTAGAACAGCCTAACTAATAGTGGGAGAACGGACTGACCGATACTAGAAGAACAAATTGACTAATAGTAGAAAAACGAATTGACCAATGGTAGAGACCATACAACCCCAGCAGAAAAGAAGTCCGCCAGTCCTGTTCTACATCATCGCGCTACGCATTAGCAAATTGCCCCTGCACCACTAATTTGCCGCAAGCGCATCGGTCATTTCGCCAATCTCACTTTCAGCAGAAATCGCGTCGCCAGTCGTACTACCAAACACCAACGTGAGATCCAATTAAAATTTTCTCCCATTCAACGTGAAAAAAAAGTTCGCGTGAATTTCGATGCGATGCATAGGAACCTCCAATTAACTCGGCGAGCAGCAATAAATGGTTATCTGGGCACGAACAACGATCCATTTTACGCATGGCCGAATCGTTGTCGGAGGAAACGGCGAGAAAATTATGCTCGCGAACCAGGAAGCGGCTGGGTTAAATCGACTCGCGGTAATAATTTCGGCGGTCGCCGTGGCTGCATACCGGCCCATTCGCAATATTACCCTCATGATTGATTTCTGAGTGCGCGATGCTCATCACACGCTCGCCCAATTGCGCCCACTTAACAATAACGTAACCGTGTTCGTTCGCGCGTTCCTTCGACAATGCGTCGTGAATCGTCGCTTGTAACTCGCGTTTGCACTTAACGCGCGTGTAGAAAGCAAATTACGGTGTTTGTCCAGTTCATTTTCTCGAGACGAGGCACTTTCAGAATCTGAGTGTTGAAGATTGATTTCTTTTGTGACGTGTGAGCATACGTGTGATTTAATAATAGGATCTTTGGCTGAGTAAAGCAAATAGTGGTCTAATTAGTGCTGTCCTATCTTAATGGGTCGTAAGATGTTGACGTAAGAATCCGTGGGCGCCAATATTTCGAGAAAATGTCTCTCCCTTCTCCCGTCCCTGATTTACCCTTTGTTTTGAAGATTTCTTACGATTTTTGTTCACTCTTTCAATATCTCATCCGGCGAAAAAATGTGAAATTAGGAAAATTGCGAATTTTGTTTAATTGCGAATTTTAATTTCAATTTAAATATTAAAATTCACGGTTGGTAGCGTTTCATATACACTACCGTCCATAAGTATTTGGACACCCTATGAAACGGAAGAACTTTTTTAAAATTGGGCCAAACGACTTGAGTTTTTTTGAGAAGTTAGAAAGATTAGTTTACTAGATGACGTGTACAGAAAATTTTGAAAAAATTGCAGTTTGTGGGAATCGTGAAGAAAATTGTAAAGGTCACTGTTTACAACTTTTTCATCTAGGCTTGTGATGAAAATTTAAAACACGAAAAAATTGCAGTTTGTGGGAATCGTGAAGAAAATTGTAAAGGTCACTGTTTACAACTTTTTTATCATTTAAAACATACGTTTTGTAGATCTATGTGAATTATATACATGCTGAAAATTTCATCGAAATCGGTTAATGTTGTTACGAGCTACAAACGGTTAAAGATTGTCTCGCCTATAACTAATAAATCTGAAGATTCTTACATCTTTCGATGCCTGTCGCTTGTTTCTCCGTCCACCGATTTCGATGAAATTTTCAGCACGTATATAATTCACATAGATCTACAAAACGTATTTTTTAAATTTTCATTACGAGCTCAGATAAAAAAGTTGTAAAACGTGACCTTTACAATTTTCTTCACGATTCCCACAAACTGCAATTTTTTCAAAATTTTTTATCACGTCATCTAGTAAACTAATCTTTCTAACTTCTCAAAAGAACTCAAGTCGTTTGGCCCAATTTTAAAAAAGTCATTCCGTTTTATAGAATGCCCAAATACTTATGGACCGCGGTGTACCTCGAATCAAATTTAACGCGGATCATTCTTATCATAATATCGCCCGAATCAGCGCCACGAGCGAAACTCGGTAATTTCATCGGCTGTATCACAGGTTAAATAATTCTCTCCCCTGTTCTCTTCTGTTACAGCTCACATCGACCACGTGAGGTCGATTGCAGGGGTGGATCACGTTGGAATAGGCGCAGGCTACGATGGAATCAATCTGTGAGTGTTCTATTTTATTCATGGAAGTTGCAAATCGAACAAGCTCGCTGGATACGCTCGCGTGTTCGGGGCAATAAGCAAGGTTTACCGAATGAGAAGTGAATTAGTGTCATTTCCTTGGGGTGACCTTACCTTTTGCCTTATATCGGGCGTTTTTACGAGGTCCAACCTGCAACTACCATAAAGCATGTGTCGTTCTTTACGTGTGCCCAAAGTGTTGACCAGTGCCCCGTAAAAGCGTAATACTGCCGAAGTGAAACGTGCTAGAGCAGTGTTCTGTGAGCCAGTTCTTAGATACGAACTCTCTTCTCGCGTGACGTATGAATTCTTCTCGAAACGGACAGAAACTATAGTAGGAGCCGAATATATTAGCTGGTTAAGGTCATTTCTTCTGTCGGATGACTACGCGTTTAGCAATCATTTAACCTTCTTCCTTCCTATTCCTATTTCTTTTCCTATCTTGTTTGTCCCCGAATCATACTGAAGGATGTGATTATGTGTGTTCAGTAAAGACGCTAGTGTACTTTAAAAAGGTATTTTATTACTACTAACGATCCTTATTAGACTCCCACAGCAGACTGGTCCTCGTTGCTTCGCCGGGCCACCAGCTAGTTTCTCTAGGCCCGTTCGATGGAATTACTTTTTTCTAATTGGCTAAACGGGAAATCCGTTTAAGCCAATTAGACTTTTTTTGTGGAATTTCCACCGCCCACTCTTTTACGCCCTTAGCGTGATTTTCCGAGAGTGGGGAAGCAACTTGGTGGGAGTGATGTTTCCTGCGTAGATTCGGCAAAGCAGCGGGGTGCCCCGCGGGCCCAGCCGCTACGTGCGACATGTAGGTTTACGAACCTCAATCGGCAGGCCCTTGAGGGACCCTCGGTTTAGGATTCCTACGAACGCTATTGAGATTGTCGAGAGAGTTTACGTAAGGGACGAGTAAATTTCCAACGTCCTTATTATCGATTGACAAACGACTTCTCAAAAATAGCTTCGCTGGCGTGAGAATCCTAAACAGTGCTAGCTTGTTCTTGATATTTTCAAGTGTTTTTTCTGCTAGCTGTCTGCCCGCCGAATGTTTATTACGCAGGTATGTAGCGTTCCGCTACAATACTTTCCTCTATCGTGACCGTGATCCTTACTCATCCACGCTAAGGGCTCGAGAAAAATGGTCATCCGTACCCCTTCCCCTTGACCCTCGAACAGCCGACCGAAAACAGTGACGCGGCACGTCAACGCCAACTGGAATTTTTACTATATGTATTTCAGAACTAATTTTTAGGTAATTAGTTTACGTTACAGCGATAAGATTGAGCCTAGCGAACGAGCAGACGTTGCCGCCTCTTCGCTCTGCTTAAGACATGGGTTCGAAGTGACCCGGCATTGGCTGGGCGAGGGTTAAATAGATATGCTCTAAGTATAACCTGAAGAAACTAGCGACTCTCAATCTTTGTATTAGCATCCAGTCAGAACGTCCACCGTTGAATAAACTCTTATACGTGATCGTGTGTCTTCCGTGGAACGCAACACTCCTCTGTCGCAATCGTATCTTTTCTTGCAATGCAATTTTTGTCTTACTTCTGGCGATAATATGCTGTATTTATCTTAGAAGGGCACACTTCTTCCATCTGTCTTTTTTTACCAATATTCTCTCTCCGTTTCGTTTTATAAGGCCGCGATAGACACAATTGAACCGTTTGCCGACGAAGCTGGGTCATCTGTGACCCGTACCACTTGCGTGTGTCGAAGTTCCATGGGATATAAAATTTTGTCTACTTGGAATACTTCCGTTATTTATAATAATACGGAAAAATGTTGTATATAAAATTTGCATAATATAGAGGAAGGCGTAATGTGATGTGAATACTTGTTGCTTGGATGAAGACGTAGAAAAGATTTATTTCTTTTCACCGAGAAATGTAGTTTAATGTACTTAGATAAAGTCTAAGGAGAAAAAAAATTGATCCTCTGGAGTGCAGACAAATCTTATCGCATTGCTGACGGTATACTATCAAACCGATCGGATAAAAACTATAGTTTTTAAAGAATAACTTTTAACACTTCGTTCCATAATAGAGCTGTAGATTATGCGAATTAGCGTATCTCGTGACCAACAATTGAAACCCTATGACGACAATTCTCCCGTCGCTGACAATTAAAACCCAAAAGCCGCGAATTCACGTGTTACGATGGGTCAAGTGTGACCCAACCCACTTTTTCGTCTAATCATCCGTCGATTGAAATCAGCACGAAAAGATTCCGCAGAGTGACCGTTACCCACCGAAGGACAAAAGTGGGGCCGAAAAGCGATGGAGGAGAAACGGCCTTGAGCGGTCGATACATTCAGCTCCCACTATAGCGTCATCCAAGACTCGTGCAGAAACACACAAAAAAAAAGCAGCCTAATTACACAAACCTACAGAAACTTCACCATTTAATCTTACAATCTTAGAAGATTCGAAAAGCCTCCGAAACTTTTTTTGTCGTTGAGCTAATTTCCACTGGCAGGCCATTTAAACTCGCCGCGGCGGTAATTGTAACGGAAACAACTCCAGCGAATATTCGAGACGCGGCTGAAAGGCAGATATTCGCTCGCGGATACGGCGTGGCGCTATTATCGTCCACGGTTTTGTTTGCGCGCTATAACTCGCTCCGGTAGACGGTATTTAATAGAATTTCATCGTCGCGGCGGGAACAAAGGCGCGAAAGGATCGGTTGAAACGCGCGACTATCGGACGACCCTGTTTGCCACCACTGTCACGCGTTTTATGCCTGCCTCAGGCTTGGGGAATCGAAACGATCGCCATTAAGCTGTGCGGCGCGCAGAGAGGAAAAAAAGGGGGAAAAAGATCAGCGAACGAGAGAGAGAAAGACACACACGAGCGGTAGCCGACAAAAATCGAGGAGCACATGGAGCAGCTGGTAAAAAGTTGTCGCGTTTTCCAAATCTGCGCGAAAAACACGCGTGGGCGTGGCGATCGGCAGCCGGAGGGAAGAGAAAAACACAACGTGGACGCGCTAGGAGGCGCGATTTGCACATCGAACGATAGGAAGAACGGGGAAAAAAAAAGGTAGAGGAACGTGGTGGAAAATAGAAGAAAAAGGTGTCGTGTCGTCGATCGAACCCCGCCTGCAACGTTTTCGTACTTCCGCTCCCGCCGGCGGGGGATGAAAGCCTCTGGCTTGGCACGGATAACACGCTCGAATTGTTCGCAAACATTAATTGGACAACGAAACTTCCCATCTCTCTCTTCTTTTTTCCTCTTTTTCTGCGGTATTTTTAAAATAAAAATAAGCTAGATATTTAGCGAGAAATAATGAAAAAGTAAGGGTTAAAAAGAAGTTGGAATTACAAAGGAGTAGTTAGAGGGTTATTTGCATGAATTCGTCACCCGAAATGGCGCCTGTCTTCGAACCGAAGCCTTTGACAGTTCAACCAGAAAGCTGAACGCCGCGTACACGCTCTAATTGTCGAGGACCACGGGGAAAAGAACGGAGGATAACACTTTTAGCGATGCCACAGGAACGAGTAAAGGGGGGGGGGAGAGAGAGAGATTGGTGAGGTGGAATCAACGGAGAAACTTCGCATCGGAATGAAAACAATGCCCGATTTGTCCTCTTTTCCACCGCGACGCAGAGACAGCTCTTAATACCCCAGTCGCGACGATTTCAAATTAAAAATTTCACTGAGCCGAGCAGCTGCAGACGAGGAACTCGAGGAATTTTTGTTGGCCCCACGGGGGAGGAGAAGTGTAACCTTTGGACAGGAAGTGGAGGGGAAAAAAGAAGAGATATTAGAAATTTGCAGAATCGGGGAAGTGGAAGGAACTGTGACGTTCGATTGAAGCGTGGTCGTCGTCGTTGTTGTTCGATCATGTACGAAGTAATCGATGAACGAAAACAATCTGTGCGTGTGCTTTTATAGGGGAGACTGGGGAAATTACGAACGCCTAGGGAAAAATTGAATGAAACGAATTATTACAAAGGCAGTAACTTTTTTGTCGCTCATGTACAAACGCGTATTGTCTGTTTGTATATTTTTATAATGAACATTAACCCTTTCGTTACTATCAGCGCCTATAGGCGTTTTGAAAATTTGTTCGCACTATACTGTTGGAGCCTTTTGGCGCACTTCTGCCTTAATTTAATCAACCGAATTTTAAAAACGATACGGTCAGAATAACAAATTTTGCAGTCGTGATAAAAAATTTACCCTCAGTCGCCCACGTTACGCATTAAAATCTGCCGTAGCGAAAGGGTTAAGAAAATTTAAAAAGCAAACCAATTTTTAATAGAGGAACCAAACCATTGCTGTTCACGAACGCTGCTTATTTTTTACAAAAGTCGCATAAATAGACTCTAGAGTCCGTTCAATTTAAGAGTAACCTCGCTCTCGGACCGATTTTCGTCCGTTCTGCGCAGTTCCCACTACTACCTACCAATGTGACGCATGCGATTGGTCGTAGCGCTATTTTGGCTAGGCCCAAGAGCGAGGACAATGTAAACAATGCATAGAGTGGAGGGAATCTACCCGGTGGTCTAAAAGTATGCGCACCTACTGTGTGCATGTTAACGCACCGGTTTATGACAGACGAATAGTGGCTCGTTGTATGAATTTAGCCGAACAAAATAAAAATATCTATATTTGGGGAACGATTCAAAATCATTTAAATTCTTAAAAGACATATTATAAAGTACCTAATTTCATTAGGTACAAAAAGAGAAAAAGAGTAAATAGAGAATTAATTATATCACCGTGTATATGAAAGCGTCACGGAGAAAAACGTGGGCGGTTAAGTGGGGGCTTGGACGTTCTAGCTCTGCCTTAGGCACGTCCCATGCGCGAAACGAGGTTACTCTTAAATTGAACGGACTGTAGACGTGCTCTGTCCATCGCTGAAATTTCGTGTGCCCATTCGCAGCAATCGTAACGCATAATCCGTTAGCATTAAACGTTAGTATTATGATAATTATGTATGCAAAAGTTACACTTCCTTTATCTA